GGTGGAAGATGTTTTCCAAAACTTGAATTTTCCACTTGAAAGTTAGAATTTTATCAACAATTCTCTCTCTCTCTCTCTCTCTCTCTCTCTCTCTCTCTCTCTCTCTCTCTGTCTCTCTTTCTCTCTGTCTCTCTCTCTCTGACAAACTCAATTTCCATTTTCTTTAAAGAAATACCAACCAAATCCCTAAATCTTTATTACCACAAAGTTTCTGCCATGAGCTAGAAGCTAGTTCAACTCATAATGGAAACAGGTACACAAGAACCCTTTTCTCATTAATTATTGAACATTCATACGCAGTAAAAGTACTTTTTACCTCTCCTGACTTTGTCACATAAGGTGAAAGTTAATAAAAATCAACTCTCGTGAAAGTTCCATTAGGATATACTTAACTTGTGTGTGTGTGAGTATGTGCATGTGTACTCTAAGTACATGACAAAGAAAAATACCATGACATAGTACTGATAAAAAAAATGTTCTTGTAATTCCTGGAATAAACCTAGTTTGGTTATCATGTACACTCATATTTATTGCAGTTCCCTGTTTGATATTTTATTAAGGATTTTTCTATCTATGTCTATGTGTAAGATCGACCTATGCTTTTCATTTCCTATAATAGCTATGTTTAGTTTTATATTAGTTATACTAGCTTTATAAAATGAACTGAGGGTTGTTTCCTCTGATTAATTCCTTAGAAGAATTTGAATAAGCCTAATTCTTTGGATATTTGGTAGAATTCACTATAAAACTATTTGTATATGTGTTGTATATGTGTGTGTGTATGCACACACGTGCACAGGGTGTAAAAGAAAGTGAATACATAATGCTGATTTAAATGACTATAGGAATATTTAAGTTTTTGTTCTTATAAAGAATAACAGCTTAAGATATTATTTATATACCATGAAGTGGTACATACACCCTCTTAAAGTGCACAGTTTGATGATTTTTATTTATTCACAGTTGCCCATTTTTAAGTTGGTTATTTGTGTTTAAGTTATAAGAATTCTTTATTATATAGTCCTTATTTGATATATGATTTGTAAGTATTTTCTCCCATTCTGTGGATTATCTTTTTTTTTACTTGCAGTTCTGGGGTTTGAACTCAGGGTCTAATGCTTGCTAGGAAAGCACTCTACCACTTGAGCTCTTTTTGGTTTGGTTATTTTTGAGATAGGGTTTTGTTTTATGTTCAGACCTTCCTGGATTGTGACCCTCCTGTTTGTGCTCTGCATCGTTGAGATAATAGGCTTGTGCCACCATGTCCAGCCATTGGATGAGATGGGCTCTCATAAACTTTTTGCCTGATCTGGGTTTGAACTGCAATCCCCCTAATCTCTACCTCCTGAGTAGCTAGGATTACAGATGTGAGCCACCATACTTGGCTCTTTTCACTTGCTTAATAGTGTCCTTTGGGGCAAGAAGTTTGTCATTTTGAGATTAATTTATATATTTTTCCTTTGTAACTTGTGCTGTGGTGTCTTAAGAATATCTAAGACAACCATTGCTTAATCCCCAAATCAGAAATATTAATTCCTATGTTTTCTCCAGAAGTTTTTTTTAGCTTCCACTTTTGCATTGAAGTTTTTGGTACATTTTGAGTTAACTTTATATGTAAGAGTTTGGCTTAATTTTTTCACATATTTACATTCATTTGTCCCACCACTGTTAAAGAGTAGTGGTGAATTGTCTTAGAAATCTTGTCAAAATAAATTAAATTATCCATAAACTTAAGGAATTTATTTCTGGCCTTTTTTTTTGCAGGGGGAGGGCGGTACTGGGGTTTGAATTCAGGGCCTCATGCTTGCTAGGCAGGCACTCTGTCACTTGAGCCATTCTGCCAACCCTGTGTTTTGAGTATTTTCTAGATAAGTTCTCATGAACTATTTGCCTGGGGCTAGCTTTGAACTGCGATCCTCCTGATCTCTGCCTCTGAGTAGCTGGGATTGTGAGTGAACCACTGATGCCCAGCTAGAATCTTAATTCTTAATAGAGCTTTGATTGCTATTCTGTAATTTATCTTTATGTCAGTACCAGAGTCTCTTGATTACTGTAGCTTTATAGTACATTTCAAAATCACAGAGTGAGAGTCTTCCATTTCTTTCTTTACAAAAGTTTTGACTGCTCTGGGTTGCTAACCTTTCTACATGAATTTTTTTCTTCTTTCTCTGTATTCCAGGCTGACCTCAAACTCACAATCCTCCCTTGTTATCCTCCTGAGTGCTGGTATTATAGGCATGTACCCCATGCCCAGCTCCACATGAATTTTAAGATCAGTTTTTCAAATTCTAGGGGAAAATGTCAGTTTAAGTTTTAATAGGAATTGCTTTGACAATGTAGATAAATTTAGGCGCATTCCCACCCTAACATTGCTGTCTTCCAATCTATAAACATGAGATTTCATTTATTTATATTTATATCTTAAATTTCAACATGTTTGTAGTTTTGCACTTCTTTATTAAATGTATTTCTAACAACTGTATCACAAATGGAATTATTTTCATTCATCTTTGGATTATTTATTGTTCTATAGAAATACAACTGTTTTTGTATCCTGCAGTTTTTCTGAACTTATTAGATCTAATCCAGTGTATTTGCATGTGTGAGTGTGTATTCCTTAGGATTTTCAATATGCAGTTTGTGCATTGTACCAATACCACACTGACTTTAATTATTACAGCTTCATAAAAAAATCCTAATATCTGGTGGGGCAAGTCTTCTCCCCTTGCTCTTTTTTTTTTTCCCCAAGAGTACTTTGGCTATTCTAAACTCTTAACTTTTCTATATAACTTTTAGAATCATGTTGTTTAAGTTCCATGAAAATTCCTATTGAACTTACAAAATTGGATTTGCATTGAACCTGTAGATTACACTGGGGAGAATTCACATATTTGTGACATTTAGTATTCCTAGCCATGAACATGACTTATTTATTTAGTTAGTTAGTTTATTTTCTAAACATCCTTTAATTTTCTCCATAGAATTTTTGCATTATCTTTTGCTATTTATTCCTAAATGTTTGCTAGCCTCTGAGATGATTGTAAATGGAACATTTTTAAATTATATAGTTTTTACAATTTTCTGATATATAGAAATAAAACTGCCTTTAATATGTTAATCTTATATCCAGCCAATATAAATTTATCTACTAATCTTACAATTTGTAGATTATTTTGTGTAAACTATGTAAATAGTCTTATCACCTACAATAATAAGAAGGTTACATTTAAACAAGGATGTGAAATAGTCAAGTAAGTAAACTATGTGGATATTAAGGGAGCAATATACGAGGAAGAAGAAAGAGCAAATAAAGCAGGGAGGTGACTGATGTGTTCAAGGAACATCATGGAGTTGGAGTTCCTGGAATGCTGTTGTGAGCAAGTGGGAAAGTGATAGGACCAGGTTATGTAGGGCCCTGTAGTGTACCGTATGGGCCTAGGTTTTTACTCTGGTTTGGGAATCTGTGGAAAGGCTGTAAGTAAAGGAGTGACATGATCTGATTCAGGTCGTTGAAGGATCCTTCTGGCTACTGTGTTGAGAATAAACTATGAAGGTCAAGGACTAAAGCAGGAAAACATGAAGGAGGCCATTGCAGTAATCCAGGTAAAATATTGGTAGCCTAGAGCAGGGTGGTATTAGGGAGAAGTGGTAAAAAATGTCTGCATTCTGGATATGTGTGTGTGTGTGTATGTGTGTGTGTGTGTGTGTGTGTGGTACTAGGGTTTGGACTCTGGGCCTCACACTTGATACCACTTGAGCTATTCTACCAGCCCTTTTTTGTGTATGTGTGTGTTATGTATGTATTGGATATTTTCAAGATACAGTCTAGAGAACTATTTGCCTGGGGCTGGCTTCAAACCATGATCCTCCTGATCTCTGCCTTCTGAGTAGCTGAGGTTACAGATGTGAGCCACCAGAGCCCAGCTGGATTCTAGATATATTTTATAAAGAGAACCAACAGGATTTGCTGATAGGCTGGATATTGCTTATGAGAAAAAAGGAGAGTCAAGAATGAGTCCAAATTTTTTGACTTGAGCAACTGGAAGAAAATAGAGTTTCCATCATTATTAGGAATGTCTTTTGAAAAAGTCAAGCTATCAGCTCATATAATGTGCTCTTAATAAGGCCTTTGAAAATTTTTATTTTGAGTCTTAGCATTTGGAATTGGAATTTGTTCTCCCAAGAACTTGCTTTTGTTTTTGTTTGTATCTACTAGGGACTGCAAGTTACGGTGCTGATTTCATTAGCTGCCATAAAATGAAGAACCACATTTGTGTCCCTTGTATAGCAAGGATGTAGATATCTAAAATACGTATTTTTATTGACTTCATTTGTATTTTTAGTCTTGTTTTTAATCTTTCTCACTATTTTTGATGTGTTCTCTTATTATATATCTTGTTTTTATTTTTCTTACATTGCTGGGGTTTGAACTCAGGGCCTATGTATGCTAGGCAGTCACTTTATTACTGAGCTAAATCCCAAACCTAAGTGTTATATATCTTTTTAAACCTCTTTAAAGTCTTTTTAGTACAGGCAGGATTTAAGATAGATAGAAATAAATTGTTTCCCTTGTATGCCACCAAAAATGAACTGTGATGGGTAATATTAAAATTTAAAAACTAAGTTAAAGTGAATTAGAACATTGTTTTCAACTATAGATAAATATATGTATATGTGTAAATAAATATGCACACACATTTTTGAGTGCCTGCCAGGTTTTTCCAACTCTGTATTGTTCATTCAACAACATTTAGTGAATGTGTGCTATGTCCAGGTGCTGTTCTAGGCACTTGACACTTCAGTTAATGACCCCTACCCTTAGGGCAGGCATTCTAGTGGGGCAGATACTGACAAAATAATAGCACATGCACTAAATTATTGGTATAATAGAGATAATATTGCCATTGGGGAAAAGTCAAGCATGTAAGGAGATTGAAAGTGAAGGGAGTACAAGGGCTGCAGCATTAAATAGAGTGGCCTGGCTGGGTCACACTGAGAAAATGACATTGCTGCAGAGACTTGAAGGAGGTAAGGATGTAGGTTACATGGTTATCTAAGGGAAGACTGTTCTACCAGAGTGAATGGCAAGTAAAGGTCCTGAGGTAGGAGCATGCTTGCCAGATTTAAGGGACAGTTAGGAGGCCAGCATGGAGTACAGTGGTGAAAAATGAAGTCAGAAAGGGGTGGGGACAAACTGCACAGGGCCTTCTAGACTGTCAGGACTTGAGCTTTTTCTCTGTGTGAACACCATTGCAGTTTTAAGCAGAAGAGTGGCATGATTTGACTTGCCTTTTAAAAGAATCACTCTGGCCATTGTACATAACTGCCAAAGGAGTTAATGATTATTTCTGCAATTTTAGGTATATTACAGCTAATACTGACACAGAAGAACAGAGTTTTCCTGTCCCTAAGCCATTTAATACACACATAGAGGAATTAAAGTTAGATGTCCTTCTGCAGAAGGCAGATCACTTACGTGTGAATGAGTCTGGAAAGATGGAGAGTTTTGAACTACTTTGTGACCACAAAGAAAAGGTAAGAGCTATGTGACGTAAGTTTTCATGTAGCTTTCATTTTTACTTTTTTTGTGTGTGTGGTGCTGGGGATTGAACCCAAGGCCTTAAGCATGCTAGGTGAGCACTCACTCTGCCACTGAGTTACATCCCCAACCTTATAGTTTTCATTTTTAACTCAATCTACTATCTTATTCATGTTATGACCATAATAATTGTGCCACAGTTCACACTCATTGATGTGAAATTTTTCCATAAATTGATTAAAATTTCTAAAAAGTAAATATGAGTTAAGCTTTATCTCTCAGAGCAGACCTACAATTATGCACATTTACCTTGATTTTCTATTAATTTGTATATTGAATACATAGTTTATAACTGATAAAAATAAGGCATTATGCCAAAGCATATAGCACATTCTCCCTGGAGAGATGAAAAACTATTTTAAGTTTCCTGCAATTCTTATCAATATAATAGTTATCAGTATCTGAAGCCATTTCTACCAGTGATTATTCTGTAGTGTTTATGTTAGACCTGAATTGAAAAGCCTATCTCTCTCACTATTATCACTATAAAAAGAATGGAGTGTTTACAAAATCCCACAGAGAAATAATTCTCTTTCCCATGAGCAATTTAAGCTTAGCCTTGTCTATGAATTAAGCATCTCTAAACCTGGGTATCATAAGTTGATCAATGTATAATGTACAAATGTACCAGAACATCACACTGTATCCCACAAGGATAAACAAGTATTATCTGTCAATAAAATGTTTAAAAACTTTAAGAATCTTTAGGATTATATTTAGGTAATTTAGGTAAAATAGAGTGTAACTATCTCTTGAGTATATGTACTTCAATTTACAGATATATCCAAAATGCTCTTTGAGCTATTATATTGATATAGGTAACTTTTAGAAAGGAAAATAAGAAGAGAATACCACAGCCCAGGAAGAATTTATAGGTTCTGGCCCCTATAGATTCCCTCTTCTACATGTATCTGGTAGTATTAATTGGTTTTAAGATCCAAATGTGACACAATATTAGGTCACATTTCTTAGATATGAATACTTGGATTTAAAATGCTATATACTTATATATACATATGTGTGAATTCTGAATTCTGTCATCCATTATACCAGTGTACTTGCCTACGTTTTTGAAAGTTAGAGTGAAAACAATTATAGTCTGGACAAATTACTGAGTTAATCTAATGTGCAATTCTATCTTTTCAGTTTAGAGATGAAATAGAGTTTATGTGGCGGTTTGCTCGTGCTTATGGAGACATGTGTGAACTTTCTACAAATGCAGAAGAAAAGAAACATTATGCTAATATTGGTAAGTAATTTGTCAACCAATGGTCTACCAATGGTCATTTTGTAGTGTTTATGTTAGACCTGAATTGAAAAGGCTATCCTTCTCACTATTACCACTATAAAAAGAATGGAGGGTTTATAATATCCCACAGAGAAATAATTCTCTTTCCCATGAGCAGTTTAAACTTAGCCTTAAATTACAGGCTGGAGGAAATTGAGAGGCGAGAATTTGGATAGGATTGAAAAAGGATATATCCAAAAAGAAGAGTGCACAAGACCCTTAGTATCGCTGGTCTGTGGTTCCAGTTCTTCTCAAGTGGCAATTACGATCTATAATAGACCACTAGTGATTTCTTAATTAAAACTAAATTATCTTAGTTAAAACCAATATATTTTATCTATTTTAATATATCCTGGCCACCCAAAATACATGCAATCTCAGAACAGGAAGATCTTTTAGGACTAATGTATATGTTCTTTTAAGATATTTGAATATATTAGAATAAGCATCTGAAAAAGAACTCAAATTTCACCTTTTGAACTTTATAAAATCACAGAAAAATAAGACAGTAAGTAAAAATATTTGAGAAAAAGCAATAGTGAGCAGAGGACAGTTGTCTCCAGCAGTAACCTGTCACAATTAACCTAGCACACCTTACTTCCGTAAAGTAGAACTCCAGGGACTACACAGAAATAGCCTCACAGGCATTATGTTTTTTTGAAACATAAATTGTTTAACCTGAATGATGCATATGTGGTGGTCAGAGTATTAAAAGAGTGTATGAGAAAAAGGAGGATGTGATAGCAGGGGTTGGAGACTGGTGTGGGAAGCTTTCTTTTAGAAATAACCATTTCCCATAGATAAGTTTATTTTGAAGGTCTATTTTATAATGGAATGGAATTTCAGTTAATATGTGAGTCAGTGAAAATGGAAAAGATAGAGGCTGGAGGAAATTTGGAGATAAGAATTTGGATAGAATTGAAATAGGATATATCCAAAAAGAAAAGTGCAGTAGACCCTTAGTATTGGCTGGCTTGTGAGTCCATCGAGGAAAAATCTGGAATGCTCAGGATGCATGGAGTTCAGTGCTATTCTGAGGATGCTTAGTTCATTTTTCCCATAATGTCCAGTTTCTTCTAAAGACATGCCACTTTCAACAAATCTCAAATTGTCACTTTATCACTTCAATAAGCACATTCACCTTTACCTTGCATTTTGAGCACCATTTGCCTGTCAGAAGATGTACTTTTCACAGAATTAAGGGCAGGGGAACAGCAGATCACACAACTTAAACACGGGATTTACGAAGAGCATCTCCACATCAACAGAGCAGCATAATACATGTATGGGAATTAAAAAATTTTTGTTTTTGAAATTTCTTTTGATTTCATTTATTTGATCTCACTTAGTCAAAAGCCTTGTGTAATAAATCCACAAATAAGGCAGGCTTATTGTAGTACCAAGAAAAAGGAGAACATCTTTTTCATTCATCCAGAATGAATTTATCCAGATATTGAAATAAGTTAAAAAGAATTCCTTCTTTATCTGTTTAAGAAATATTTTCTCAAAATTACTGTGTCCAGGAACAAGGTTAAAATGAGAGGTAAAGATAGGGAGAAGAGGTAGAAAAGGAGGGATATGAGATTATGCTAAGGAAAAGCAGTGCAAAATTCTTTCATAAAACTCAAAATTAGTGTATCATTATGCAGTACATTTTAAAATTCTGACTGACCATAACTTGTATTCCAAGTAAATATGAATCTTAAGCTGAAAGGAACATTACTGTACTTTTCATAATTAAGGGTTCAGTATGAATGCCTCAAAAAATCACAAAATACTATCCTGCAAGGGAAATAGTTTTCCTTTTGGTCTTCAACTGCATAAGGAAAGCTGTGAAACCAGTGTGTATACAGCCCAACTTTCTTTTATATTTTCAGAATGAGGGAATCACTCCTGTTTTAGGCAGAACAAAACATTGAAAGTTTGGTTTATTTGGCAAGGTAGCTAAAATGCTGATGTACTTCTTTGTTGCTGCTCTTTGTTTGTTTGTGAAAGGAAGGTCTCACTATGCAGCCCAGGCTGGCCTCAAACTCCTGATCATCCTGCCTTAGTTTCCTGAGTGTTGGGATTACAAGTCTGAACAACCACACCCAGCTTGATTTAATTTTTAATATTTTTACATTAAAGAGTATGTTTCTAACCATTCATTCAAAAATTACTAACTCCTTTAATATTTATCTACAGTGTAATATCAGTTATTTTTAAAATACTTTTAAATTTTTTCCAGTTAAGTAGATTTTCACCCAGAGTAGTCCCTTCAATGGATAGTTTTATAATGCCTCCTAAACCAAGTAACAAATAGAACGGTTTAGAAAAGATCTTTAATTATAAAGATTATCTAAACCACTCATATAGAAAGCCTTTTTGTATATCATTGAATAGTCTCTTCAAGGCTAAATTTTAAAAAGCGAGCAGGGAAAAAAGAAGGTATGAAACAAAATGACCCCTTTTGAGAAAGGTTCTCAGAATATGGTCATGCTATTAGATAAACCTCTATCCAAAGTGATTATTACATTACTATATCCTATTCTAAAGCTAAGTAGAATAATTTGGGGGGGGTCACTTATGTCACTGAGACTGTTCATTGTTGTCAATAATTAAGCCAGAACCTTGCAGGGAGCCTTCCTTCTCCTTCAAAGTCACTCGTGCTACTGAAGGTCACTCTCTTTTTACTTCCTTTTTATTTTTTGCATATAATTTACTTGTTTATATACCTGATGCCTACTGAACTATAAGCCTTTGGAGATCATGGACTATGTCTTATTTGGTGTTTTATTCCCAGATGTTCACACAATATGGTACTTAGTAGTCACTCAGTAAATGTTTGAATTGATTACAAAAACACAATTTATTATGTTTTAAATAATGATGGAATGACTTCTTGCACTTAACTAAATCATTTAACCCAGTGAGTCTCAAACTTGAGCATGCATCAAACTTATTGGAAACTCATTAAAACATGGGTTTCTGGGCCCAACCCCCAGAGTGGGTGATTTACCTATAGGGTGAAAATGTGCTTTTCTAATGCTTTTGGTCTTGAGACCATATTTTGGGAACCACTGACTTGATTCAAAGATATACCTCCTACCAACTCACATAAAGGTACTAAGTGTAAATATATTTGCTTTCAGGAAAAACTTTAGGTGAAAGAGCTATTACTAGAGCACCCCTGAATGGATATTGCCATCTGTGGTAAGTTCACAGGATTTGTGTAGTCTTTTAAATTTCTAATAGGCCTCTTTATGCATTGTCCTAGCTATAAAAAATATGACTGACCCATTGAACTGGTCAGCCATATTCACTGAAAAAATGTATTTAGTAGATAGTTCAGCAACTATTCTTGTTATGCTTGTTCTCATGTATTTCTCATTAGGCATATTTTAAATATATTTAAGGTAAGCTTTCGTTGACTATTTCATAAATGAGTCTACAAAGTCTCATAGCTTCAAGTATAAGCTATAATTAAATCTAGTTTAATATAATACTTTGCTTAAAAGCTTATACTGAAATGATAAAAGAATGTGTCAAAAAGTAAAAGCACAGTAGCCGTTTTCTGCTAACTTGAGTCATGAGATACAAATTCTACAAGTCAAGAAAAAGCCATTGAAGAAAGCTCAAAGAAATTAGTTGGGTGGGTATAGGTAAATATCTTCAGAGCAAAATAAAATTACTTATTATTTTGTCCCATTTTATACCCTTTGTATATTGAAAATTCTAAAACACAACTAAGAAGAAATATGTTGTTTTCAATTATTATTCTTCATTTTACTTTCAGTCATTTTTTTATGTTTTTTATATCCTTAGATTTTTGTTGTTATTTTGTTTTTTTTTCTCAACAGAAACACAGGTACCTTAGATGCTAGGAAAATACAATAATACATTAATTTATGACCCTTTCCTCACCTCTATGTTTGCAGAAACCCACCCCTCTCTTGGGTTATTTTATTCCTCCTAGAAACACTATTAGGCAATCTCTCTCTCAGAACAGTTCCTTCTTCATAGGTTCCCATTTGTCCCTCAGGAAACTTTTTCTCTCTATCAAACTGTAAGTACAAACCATTTTTTTCTGAAGCAGATTTGTTTCTGCATTCTGCTGTCAGCAGGGGGAGCTCCATACACAAACTCTCATGTAAAACTTCTTGGACAGGAATCCAGTAACCTTTTGTATGTCCCCTAAACTTTAAGGAACACATTCCAAAATCTGAAAAGGTCTTTAGAAACTAGAACCTGTGAATCATTTCTGAAACAAGCCATGTATGAGTAGTAGACCATATTGATGTAAGAATTGAAGTACCTAGAAGAGAAAATAGTATTCTTACCCTTGGTGCTTCTGTAAAAGCTAGAGGAAAAAGGTGATTTTGCAATTAACATTCTGATGCAGATTTAAAAGAAAACCTAATACAAGGGACTTGGGTATTATTTATATAGACAACTTTTCCTAGATCATTTAGTTTACATAATATTAATATGTACTAATAAATTAACATATGTATTGTTGAAGAACTACTATTCTTCCACTTTAGGAGTAACTATCGAATTTGTACTGAGCAAGGTATTCATTTTCTCTCTCTCTCTCTCACCATCTCCTTTGAAATTGGGAGCTGATCAGTTAGATTAGGATGCAGAAAAAACACTCAGGTTTTATTCTTAACTTTGACCCCCCTCTACCTCCCTCTTCCAGTCTCCTCCTACTCCTCCCTCCTCCATCTCTTCATCCTCCTTTTCCTCTGCCTCTTCTTCCTTCTCGCCTACATTCATTTGTGCCCACAAAGAGTCACATTAAACATGTACATTTAATTGTAATCTTCAACTTGAGGACATTTACCAATATGAGTTTTCAGTTTTCATAGAGGAACAATATTAAATGTTCTCTGAAGGCTTTATACTGTAGCTTTCTCTGAAGGCTTTGAACTATATCTTATAAGTAAGGATTGTGCTGAACTACCCTTAGTGGGTTGCCTAGTCTTCCACTAACCTCCTTTATCTTTTTTCACTTTTTGTTGTGAACTAAATGCCTTGATTATAACAATGGGCTTTAACTTCAAGATTAAATCTTACCATTACATACACAAAGTGATGACTTAATTGTTTTTCACATGATTTCTTATTCAGGATCAGTTTTTAATTTCATAAACAATCTCAAATCAGTTGATAAGAATTTAATAAATTTGAATGTCAGTTTAATCTTAATTCTTAGAATGTATTATATCTACTGGATTCAAAAGTTTTCTTACAATTAAATAGTAGAAATTTATTGTGATGAGAAAACAGAAACTTCAGAAATGGATAAGTTTAGGTAAACTAATTCCATAATGAATTGTAACAGAATACTCAGACAAGTCTTTTTTGGTAACTTAAGACATTAGTAAAACCTTATCTCATTCATTCAGCATAAATGACAAACTGTGACCTGCAGGCCAAATCTGAGTGACCATTTGTTGTAAATAAAGGCACATTGGAGCATAGCCACATCCCTGCATTTATTCACAGTAGCGTAGTTAGTAGTCACAAAAGAGCCTGTCTGGCTCCAAAGCCAGAGACATTTGCTATCTGGCCTCGCATGTGATGATTTATAAACCTTCCTTTGAAATAAAAGATGTTATTGTTAAAGATAATTTTCATGAACAGTTAGTATTTGGAAAATAATTGAGAAACAAGTATCATTTTATCATTATAAAATAGTATTCTTTATATTTTTCAAAATGAAATTGCTTTGTAACTTTAACATTGCATAAACTTTCTGTAAGATTCTTTTGTTTTTGTCATACCAGCCTAAAATACTTTTGGAATCAAGAAAATAAAGTGGATTTACAATTTGTCATTCAAATAGGGCTGGCCTTAATTAGAAATAACGTCTTACATATTTATTGTACTATACTGTTTGCAAATTATATCCACATGACTTGCAGCATGTGATTCACAGGCCCATTTCTGTTTTCTAAATAAGGTTAGCAAAGCGTGTGTGTGTGTGTGTGTGTGTGTGTGTGTGTGTGTGTGTGTTGATTAGTAACTAGGGCCACACAATAAGTAAGTGGAAATATGGAAAAAGAAATTAGAACTCAAATCTTATATTCTTACATTCTTAATCCTTCTTCTATTACTGTATGCTGTCTCTGCTTTGTTACCATAAAAGTAGTTGGCATAGGTGCTGAGTCAAAAATACTGCAGGAAAACTAATGGAGTTGTCATAGTAATGGTTGAAAGAGTATGATGACTGTCAACTGTTAAGGATGTGTTCAATATCAATACAAAGAAAATATAAAAATCATGTCAAGCATCTATAGTTAGAACAACCTCTAGATGGAGGTAATACACTATATTGTAAACTAAACCTCTTCGGAGTTCCCATCAACCTGAGAATTTCAGAAATAAAACACTGAATTACAGTGTAAATGAAAAATATAAAACAATAGCACGCATACAGGTAGAGTTGATTGAAAGAAAGAAAGCAAAAACTAGAACTCAACAACAAAAATAAAGACAAAAAAACATGCAAACAGCTGGAAACTGAATAACTCATTGCTTAATGAAAAATGGGTCATTGATGAAATAAAAGAGGAAATTAAAAGGTTCCTGGAAGTCAATAAAAATGAAAACACAACCTACCGGAACCTATGGAACACAGCAGAGGCAGTCCTGAGAGGAAAGTTTGTAGCTATGAGTGCATATATTAAAAAGACTGAAAGATCTCAAATCAGTGACCTAATGATACATCTCAAACTCCTAGAAAAACAAGAACAAGCAAATCCCAAAACAACTAGAAGGAGAGAAATAATAAAAATAAGAGCTGAAATCAATTAAATAGAAACCAAAAGTAACACACAAAGAATTAATGAAACAAAAAGTTGGTTTTTTGAAAAAATAAACAAGATCAATAAACCCCTGGCAAACCTGACTAAAATGAGGAGAGAAAAAAACCCAAATCAGTAAAATCAGGAATGCAAAAGGAGAGATAACAACAAACACCATGGAAGTCCAAGGAAATCATCAGCGACTACTTTGAGAACCTATATTCAAATAAATTCGAAAATCTTGAAGAAATGGACAGATTTCTAGATACTTATGATCATCCAAAACTGAACCAAGAGGACATTAAACACCTGAATAGATCTATAACACAAAATGAAATCGAAGCAGCAATCAGAAGTCTCCCTTAAAAGAAAAGTCCAGGACCTGATGGATTCTCTGCTGAATTCTATCAGACCTTTAAAGAAGAACTGATACCAACGCTCATTAAACTGTTCAATGAAATAGAAAGGGAAGGAAAACTGCCTAACACATTTTATGAAGCCAGTGTTATACTTATCCCAAAACCTAGCAAAGACACCTCCAAAAAGGAGAACTATAGGCCAATCTCCTTAATGAACACTGATGCAAAAATCCTCAATAAAATAATGGCAAACCCAATTCAACAACACATCAAAAAGATCATTCACCACGACCAAGTAGGCTTCATCCCAGGAATGCAGGGGTGGGTCAACATACGAAAATCAATAAATGTAATAAACCACATTAACAGAAGCAAAGACAAAAAAGCACTTGATCATCTCAATAGATGCAGAAAAAGCCTTTGGTAAGATCCAACACCACTTCATAATAAAAGCTCTAAGAAAACTAGGAATAGAAGGGAAAGTACCTCAACAGTATAAAAGCTATATATGACAAACCTACAGCCAGCATTATACTTAACAGAGAAAAACTGAAACCATTCCCTCTAAAATCAGGAACTAGACAAGGATGCCCACTATCTCCACTCCTATTCAACATAGTACTGGAATTCCTAGCCAGAGCAATTAGGCAAGAAGAAAGAATAAAAGGAATACAAATAGGTAAAGAAACTGTCAAAATATCCCTATTATTTGCAGACGATATGATCCTATACCTTAAAGACCCAAAAAAACTACTCAAAAGCTCCTAGACACCATCAATAGCCATAGCAAGGTAGCAGGATATAAAATCAACATAGAAAAATCATTAGCATTTCTATACACTAATAATGAACAAACTGAGAAAGAATATATGAAAACAATTCCATTTACAATAGCCTCAAAAAAATCAAATACCTAGGTGTAAACCTAACAAAGATGTGAACGACCTCTACAAGGAAAACTACAAACTTCTGAAGAAAGAGATTGAGGAAGACTATAGAAAGTGGAGAGATCTCCCATGCTCATGGATTGGTAGAATCAACA